TCCTCTTCCATTGATGCCATGTTTCTAGACCACACACCAGACCCTAGCCAAAATATTGCAGCAAGGAAGACCACAATAATACTAAACCCCATGAAGTTACCCAAAAACCTAAACAATACCTAAGTCTAATCGTTACTTTAAGTGATCACCTACATCTTGAGTGTCAACCTTGTCTACACACTAGAAGTACTAGCATTTGGCAGTGTCTAGAAAAATGTATGGTGCAAATCAGTTAAGCATGTCAAAGTAGTGTCTTAGTCTGGATTTTTTTTTTTTTTCTAAAATGAATGACACAGATTTCACATGACAACAACTAAAATATAACAAAATCAAGGCAAAAACACATCAATACATACAGCCTCAAAATGCAATCACAATTTCATGAAATCACATACAGCATATCACTAATACATGAATAAAATTCGGTACCAGGCCACATGCCTGAAACAGTCAGGAATAATAAAGCTCACAGGCATAACATGTCGGTAGCCTGGAACTTACTGTCTCTCTCCCAAACAATGTATTCAGAAATACAACTGAATTAAAGGGAGTGCGGGTGGCAATCACATTCTCACAAGTTCATGGTTATGTCATGGTCTCTCACAGTCTCTGGTGGTAGTTCACACGGTGACTCTGAAGCGGTGGTCCAGGGTGGTTGACAAGGTGCTCACAGCATTCCTCACTGGGGGCTCCAAATTTGTAACGGGGATGGCTCTTTTACAACGACACAACTCCGTTGAGGCTGCAAGTTCCTTTTTATTACTGTAGTTTGTATAAATAATAATACAAGTCTGAAACAATGTATATGAATATATAACATTCCATCAAAATACCTATTTTATCACATTCATTCATTTCATTGCACATTGTTCAGATAATTAACAATCACAGCTCTATCACTGAACATATAAAAATAACTCAAACCAAATTGACATCACAAAATTAATGGTTCAGGTTCATATTAAGATCCTTAGGAATTATGGAACACCTTTGGCATCTTCAAAACAATGAAACATCAACGTGTCTTACCATCTATGGGACAACTTGCTTCAAACTGGCCACATGTTGTGAGGCACCAACAAAACACCAAGAACCTAAAATATGTATGTTTTAATTAGCATGGAAATGCTAATTCTCACCAGCAAAGTAAACGTACAAACTGTTTGGACTCAAACATTAATCTGAATCAATTGTAAGTGAAATTATTGACATCAACAATTTCTAACCATAGGTCAAAATATACCTCCACCAAAAGCCATAAATTCAGTTACAATAAATACTGAATTAACCTTTCAACCATTAAACATATTTTTGTAGTTTATTCCTTTTATATAAAACCAATTGTAACTAACCTGTAATTCACCCAAAGTCACAATCCACCACCCATGACTTTCAAACCACCTTGCCAGGTTGGGAGAAAGACAGCAAGTGAACAAACTTCACACTTTCCAAATGCAACTAAATTCAACATCCAATCAAGATGCTGCACATCTTCAGCCAATAAAACCAAGGACAAGACAGCAGACCTGACTCATTAAGACTTGGCTAATTTGCATAGGAACTACTTTTGACCCATGACCCAGTGGTGACTATAAATAAATCATGGACTTGTGAAAATGTAAACCTTTTCACTGACAATTGTATTATTGTTTAAGGTGTTATTAATTGATTCCAAACAGGAACATAAGACAAGACATATTAAAATAGATTGCTTTTCCAGAACATTTTAATATTTGTATATTTTGTACTTGTTAGATACTTGTATTTGTTACACACTTGTTTTGTACTTGTTACATCAAGACCACCTCAGCTCTTATCCAAGCCTTCATCGCGTCGAGACTTGATTGTATTAACTCGCTGCTGTTTGGAACATCTGAGCATCTACTTGGCAAGCTTCAACGTTAGGTGAGTTAGGTTTAACGTTGCTTTGGACAGGATTCCAGCTGTATCAGGACTGACAGCATGAGGAGGAAGGGAGGTCCAGATGATAGCGTTGAGAAATGGAGAATATTATTTGAACCCAAGGCATATTAGAGTTGTAATGGCGTCGAATATGTTCATGGTGCTGAAGAAGCAATGTGTGTAGGATATCAGGATACAACAGTACTGTTGCTGATATCGACAGGTGCCAGTATTGTGTAGGATATCAAGATGTGTGAGTACTGTGTCGATATCAAGAAGTATCAGTACTGATGCTGATACCGAGAGGTGCTAGTATTGTGTAGGAGATCAGGATGTGTCAGTACTGTGTCGATATCAAGAAGTATCAGTACTGATGCTGATACCGAGAGGTGCTAGTATTGTGTAGGATACCAGGATGTGTCAGTACTGTGTGGATATCAAGATGAGTCAGTACTGTTGCTGATACCTAGAGGTGCCAGTATTGTGTAGGATATCAAGATATGTCAGTACTGTTGCTGATACCTAGAGGTGCCAGTATTGTGTAGGATATCAAGATGTGTCAGTAATGTTGCTGATACCTAGAGGTGCCAATATTGTGTAGGATATCAAGATGTGTCAGTACTCTGTGGATATCAAGATGTGTCAGTACTGTTGCTGATACCAAGAGGTGCCAGTATTGTGTAGGATATCAAGATGTGTCAGTAATGTTGCTGATACCTAGAGGTGCCAGTATTGTGTAGGATATCAAGATATGTCAGTACTGTTGCTGATACCTAGAGGTGCCAGTATTGTGTAGGATATCAAGATGTGTCAGTACTGTTGCTGATACCGAGAGGTGCTTGTATTGTGTAGGATATCAGGATGTGTCAGTACTCTGTGGATATCAAGATGTGTCAGTACTGTTGCTGATACCGAGAGGTGCTAGTATTGTGTAGGATATCAGGATGTTTCAGTACTGTGTCGATATCAAGAAGTATCAGTACTGATGCTGATACCGAGAGGTGCTAGTATTGTGTAGGATATCAGGATGTTTCAGTACTGTGTGGATATCAAGATGAGTCAGTACTGTTGCTGATACCTAGAGGTGCCAGTATTGTGTAGGATATCAAGATATGTCAGTACTGTTGCTGATACCTAGAGGTGCCAGTATTGTGTAGGATATCAGGATGTGTCAGTACTGTGTCGATATCAGGATACAACAGTACTGTTGCTGATACCTAGAGGTGCCAGTATTGTGTAGGATATCAAGATGTGTCAGTACTGTGTCGATATCAAGAAGTATCAGTACTGTTGCTGATACCGAGAGGTGCTAGTATTGTGTAGGATATCAAGATGTGTCAGTACTGTGTTGATATCAAGAAGTATCAGTACTGTTGCTGATACCGAGAGGTGCCAGTATTGTGTAGGATATCAAGATGTGTCAGTACTGTGTCGATATCAAGAAGTATCAGTATTGTAGCGGATACCAAGAGGTGCCAGTTTTGTGTAGGATATCAAGATGTGTCAGTACTGTGTGGATATCAAGAAGTATCAGTACTCTGTCGGATATCAAGAGGTGCCAGTATTGTGTAGGATATCAAGATATGTCAAGACCACCTCAGCTCTTATCCAAGCCTTCATCGCGTCGAGACTTGATTGTATTAACTCGCTGCTGTTTGGAACATCTGAGCATCTACTTGGCAAGCTTCAACGTGTGCAGAACCCTGCTGCGAGGGTGATGACCCGTCAACAGAAATATGAGCACATCACTCCTGTACTCCGCCGTCTACACTGGTTGCCAGTCTGATACAGGATCCAGTACAAAATACTGTTGTTAGTGTTCAAGTGTGTGAATGGACTTGCCCCCAGCTATCTTTCAAATCTTCTTCAAAAACACTACCCTCCCAGATCCTTACGGTCTGGTTCCCAGTATTTCCTGGAGGTACCAACCACCCGAACAAAGACATTTGGCGACCGTTCATTCGCACAAAACGGTCCAGTATTGTTGAACAGTCTACCTACGCACCTCAGATCGCAAGAGAATGTACCAACATTCAAGTCACAGTGTGTGTGTGTGTGTGTGCGCGTGCGTGCGTGCGTGTGCGTGTGCGTGTGCCAGTACTGGCCTGTAACCGAAAGAGGGCTGATTGGTGGTTTAGTTGCCAATGCTTTCGGTTGCCAAGCCCAAGTCCCGGCTACGATTGTTTTGACGGCACTGTTTTCAGACCCATTCTGAAGTTCAATGTCGTGATATGACTGGACCATTAGTAGATGAGGCTTTAAACGTCATTCACTCATTGGGGAAGTAAACACTCAATTAGCTCTACACACTTTATATTAAGTTAAAATACCTTCACGCAGGATGATGTATGTAGAGTTTGAAGTAATAAAACGGCGATCCCTGTTGAAGCACGCACTGCAAAACTCCTATTCCTGGGCTGTGCACGAGTGGGGCAACTGTTCGTTGAAGTGTAGGTAATTTCAGAAGTCGGTTTCATGGAGGGTCTGTGTGTGTGAAGATTTCGGGTAAGAATTGGTGTTCAGCAAAGCCTGGTAGGAAGCTACTGACGGGATCGGGTCGTCAAGGTAGCTGTACTAGTTGATGGATGTCATCCTATCCTAGTTACATAGTTTTACAAACCGCCGTCCTACATTTGGCATATTGTCCTAACCAACCAGCAACCAGCCATCAACCAGCCAGACAAACAAACAAACAAACAAACTAGCAAACAAGCAAACAAACATGGAATCAACCAACCAATCTAGCAGCCAGCCAACCAACCAACCAACCAACCAACCAACCAAACCAACAAACAAAGCAAACAGACAAACAAACAAGCAAACAAAAATGTGTAGGTGTTTCTCGTGAGCAAATTGTCCATGCCCTATACACGCTTCAAATACACACACACAAAGAAGAAGTCATGTCGGCTTAGCCGGCCCGTCTTCTAATGAATTATGGCAGATTAAAGCATGTCACACACATTTCAACGTTGTAAACCATGTCGATATTTTTGACGCCATAATTCATATCAGCTCCCCTCGCCTTTGTAGCAGGATAGTGTACATAGCCTTACTGTGGCTATACGGCTCACATGATTGACAGCTTGTGGATATCAAGCGAGGTGCTCCAGGGCCCTGAGAACTCCCGCTTCATTATGTCACTTGCCCACCTCGATGCGTGATGTTTGTGTTGCTCTACTCTTAGCTGTGGGAATCAGTGGTGTTCATTTCAGAGCTGACATTGATGGTAGTTGTTTATTTCAATTCTCTGCTAATACATATCACTTCACTCTTCGGACGACCAGAGAGATTGAGTGAGTAAGAACACGGAGATATTATCTGCCGACAGGTAGGTAACATAAGTTAAGCATGTTTTAACTCTCAGATAATGATCATAATGATACAGCATGGTCACTTTTCCTGTCATATACACGAGTGATATTACCTCGGTGTACGATGTAGGATGTCCATGTGGTATGAAGTGAAGCAAATACAACGAAAACGCGGTTGTCACTGACGCCGAGGTGGATGAGTATATAGGTGTACGTTTAACCTGTGCGAAGTAATTTCATCATGTATTTCTGCCACACAAACCGGCTTATCCCTCTGGTATACATGTATCTGTCTCTTTATATAATAATTACTTCTCCATAAATGTAATCAGTATATTCTCTCTATACCCAGTAAATTACCTCTCTCTATCTGATTATTTATATCGAATATACGCGGGTATGTTGTTCCCATATGGTATTCCTCAATCAGACGTATATGTCACTTACAGACATTTGTGTCTATGCAATGGTTGTCTCAAAACAGTACTGAATCCTGCCGTACTACAGGTATTTCCTCCAGATACAGGTGTCTCTCAGTAATGTCGGTGTAGACACCTGAAACACGCATCTCTGAATGACACATGCGTGTCTGATACAGGTATCTCTCAGTGAAGTCACCTCCAGTACAATCATTCCTCGGTGGTCTCCCGTTGGTTATACTCTTGTCTATGTCTAACTACGAATGTTTATCCTTCCTCGGACATGACTCGATGTCCACTGATGTGTCAAGACAAACACGACGCTTTATAATATGTAATCTAGGTTTTTATTTGAAATACAGGTGTATCCCTCATACACAGGTATCTCTCATACACAGGTATCTCTCATACACAGGTATCGCTCTTACACAGGTATCTCTCAGTAAGACAAATGACCCAATCAGATACAGGCATCCTCCAGTAAGATACAGGTAAGTATGGGAGAGTGTCTCTCTGATACAGGTCGCTCTATGTTATCCAGGTGTATCACTTACATACAGGTATCCACAAGTCAGATACAGGTATATGTTAAGAAATGGGTGAGTGTCTCTCTCATACAGGTTTCTCTCCATAATCTAGATGTATCCCTCATATACAGGTATCCGCCAGTCAGATACAGGTATTTCTCAGTAATGTGCAGCTGTCTCTGCGACACAGGTGTTCTTTCCGAAATACAGGTGTATGCCTCATATACAGGTATCCACCATTAAAATACAGGTATGTCTCATTAATGTAATTGTGTCTCACCGATACAAGTGTTTTCTAAGTAATACAGGTGTATGCTTCATACACAGGTATCTGTCAGTAAGATACAGGTAAGTCTCACTGATGTATCTGTTACCCCGATACAGATGTTCTCTCCGTAATGCAGGTGTACTTGTATATGTCGAAGTAACCCTCCATTACCTACCGTCTCGATCATCAGTCGAGTATTCATGCAAATTCAACCTCTATATTGCCATTGCAGTTGTGTCTGACATCCAAATGACTTGCTATGGTGTATATGTAGCTTACATTTACATACCAAACTTCAGGATAACTTCCCCTCTGTTATGTGATAAACTTCGTCCTCCATATGGCAAAGTAGTTTATCAAGCACCTGTTGATAGCGTGTAAATTCTCACGCTGGACTTAGACTCTAAGACTAAACACTTCAGTGCCATTTTAACCTAGTCTAACCAACTAACCACGTTCATGACGCTGCTGGCCAAGGAGAATGGGCCATCTGTGGCTTGTGAAAGATGCGTTCCTGCCGGCTTCAGCGGTTGTGTGTATGTATGGTGGTTGTCTGCAGTACATCGGGAGGTAATAGACTACCTCCTGCAATCCCTGTTGTATATCAACACAGTTGATTATACAATATGGTACAACTCGTTTGTCTTATTAAAGTACACCTGTTTTAAAAAGTTGACCTACCTTACCCGAAATATACCTTAATTTCACACAGAAGCAGACATTTGCACCTGGCCCGAGCGAATCCTCATTGTCGGTGGTTTGATTCTTCTATATCAAAGCCTTGGAATTATCTGCACTTTGATATAGATGTGGGTAAAACGTGAAAAGTCCAAATACAACGAACGTTTGTTCACAGTAATATTTGTGATGAAGATATACACATGGATAAAGGTATCACAGCACCCCATATTTTTCATAGCATTAATATGTTACCATTAACCGTATTTCAGTATTGCAGGTATTGCCACTAACCGAATTCCTCCAGATATCGGTATCCAAACCTCAATGTAATTTACGATATGAATAAACTGACCCTCAAGGAATAATCAAATGACAGATCTAAACGTAAAAAGAACGAACAACTATAGTTTATTCAGAGAGGCAAACATAGCAAAACATTGACTCTTTGTGCAGTGCTGATAACTATGGTCGCATGACGCTGACAAGTGCTGACAAAGTCTTCTGGAAATCACATAAATATCAATACCCGAGCACAATGTCAACATCTGTCGTAACCTCCGCCAACTTCAATAACGTTCCTGACCTTCCTCCTCAGAGACTGTATCAGACGTTGAATTTGACGTTGAGGTATTGCGCTGTATTATTGATTGAGGAGTTGTTCGAATACATCAAGATTCTGTACTGGGGAGTCTTTCTAGGGTATTCTACCTCCCATAATGTCCCAAAGATCTGGACTCCGGGGGAGCCTAGAATTATAGAATTAACCCAATTTGCTGTGCCAAACACGAGTTCACCAGTAACCGTACATTTTGCGAAAACTGGTGCCCATTTGACAAATTACCATGCCTTTGACCCCACGGTAACATACCTTTCTGTGTCATTTGTTCAGAGTTAACAAACAGTCTATTCCTGCGTATAAGTAAACAATTCATAGGTAAACAAATATATGGTGTGTTTGCCTCAAGGTAAATGTACAATATGGGACTAATTTTTGCGTGTCTTACCAGCATGTTCCCAATAAGTGTCCTTGCTGGTATGTCCTCGATAAGTGTCCTTGCTAGTATGTCCTTGATAGATGTCTTTGCTGGTATGTCCTCGATAGATGTCCTTGCTGGTATGTCCTCGATAGGTGTCCTTGCTGGTATGTCCTCGATGTGTGTCCTCGATAGGTATGTCTTGATAGATGTCTTGCTGGTATGTCCTCGATAGGTGTCCTTGCTGGTATGTCCTTGATAGATGTCTTTGCTGGTATGTCCTCGATAGATGTCCTTGCTGGTATGTCCTCGATAGGTGTCCTTGCTGGTATGTCCTCGATAGGTGTCCTTGCTGGTATGTCCTCGATAGGTGTCCTTGCTGGTATGTCCTTGCTGGTATGTCCTCGATAGGTGTCCTTGCTGGTATGTCCTCGATAGGTGTCCTTGCTGGTATGTCCTCGATAGGTGTCCTTGCTGGTATGTCCTCGATAGGTGTCCTTGCTGGTATGTCCCTGGTATGAATGATAGGTGTCCTTGCTGGTATGTCCTCGATAAGTGTCCTGCTGGTATGTCCTTGATAGATGTCCTTGCTGGTATGTCCCCGATAAGTGTCCTTGCTGGTATGTCCTCGATAGGTGTCCTTGCTGGTATGTCCTCGATAGGTGTCCTTGCTGGTATGTCCCAATAGGTGTCCTTGCTGGTATGTCCTCGATAGGTGTCCTTGCTGGTATGTCCTCGATAGGTGTCCTTGCTGGTATGTCCCCAATAGGTGTCCTTGCTGGTATGTCCTCGATAGGTGTCCTTGCTGGTATGTCCTTGCTGGTATGATCGATAGGTGTCCTTGCTGGTATGTCCTCGATAGGTGTCCTTGCTGGTATGTCCTCGATAGGTGTCCTTGCTGGTATGTCCTCGATAGGTGTCCTTGCTGGTATGTCCTTGATAGATGTCTTTGCTGGTATGTCCTCGATAGGTGTCCTTGCTGGTATGTCCTCGATAGGTGTCCTTGCTGGTATGTCCTCGATAGGTGTCCTTGCTGGTATGTCCTCGATAAGTGTCCTTGCTGGTATGTCCTTGATAGATGTCTTTGCTGGTATGGCCTCGATAGATGTCCTTGCTGGTATGTCCTCGATAGGTGTCCTTGCTGGTATGTCCACGATAGGTGTTCTTGCTGGTATGTCCTCGATAGGTGTCCTTGCTGGTATGTCCTCGATAAGTGTCCTTGCTGGTATGTCCCCAATAGGTGTCCTTGCTGGTATGTCCCCAATAGGTGTCCTTGCTGGTATGTCCCCAATAGGTGTCCTTGCTGGTATGTCCTCGATGGGCATCATGTTTGACATATTCCTTTACGAGTCTTTACAAGTATGTCTCCGTACTGCACCATTTTGTATACGAAGTCATCGACCCTACCTTGTATGTACACAACAACTGCATACTATCAACACTGCCTACGAGGAAAGTGCATTTCACCATCGAGAGACTCACTTATAATGTCGTCAATATGCAGCCTATTTACTTACACTCATGAGTCCAGACATTGCATTTCTTGAAGGAGCCTACGACATATGGAATACTCTCTCTCCAACAGTGGATTATCGCAAAGATGCCCACCTAGACCATACTATCTCGATGCTGTATCCATCGACAGTATATGTCAGCCTATTATCCCCAGGCTATAGTATCTCAATACTGTATGATGCTCAGGCATATGTCCTCAGTAGGAGTGTATTCAGACCCTATGTCGTGCACGTTGTTTCTTTTATAACTACAACCTGTACGAAGTAAACTAGATAAATGTAATGTCTTAGAATACCTCTCGCGTTTGCAGTTTCATCTATTATGTGTAAGTTTCAATGAATTTCTGATGAAATCCAGAGCATTTGCATTATAGGCAGTGGTGGGTTAAGGTAAGAATATGGTTCAGGGACTGTGAGATAGACTAGATGCATACTGACGTCGAACGCAGTCAACAATATGCTTGTGATAAAAAGGATACATTGTTACATTTGACCCAGATACTTTGAACCCTCTTCCATACTGAAAAAAACGTGTCCAAGATTCGTGTTAAGCACTATTGTTTCACTAATATATTCCAGTTTAGATCTGGCACGTGTCCCACTCTAATGTCACCCTCTGGCTATCTCAAGGCAAGGTCGCGGCAATGATCAGCCATATCACCTGTTGTAGACATGTTTGTGTCAACATCCGATCAACATCGTTAGTGGAAGATTGTGCATGTGTCTGTGTTTAGATACCAGCCTGTACCATACTGTGACCCCCACTCAACAAGGAATACCAAGCTGACGTTATCAGTAGACATGTAACTCAAATCAGCCCACATCTGTGCAGTATGGAATCCAAGAGGGGACACTGTCGCTTTGTTGCGTTGTCACCCCAAGCAAGAACAAGCATTTAGTGTGGCTTAACTAAATCACTAATGTTTATTTTTTGAAAGGCGTTACGACTGAACAATGTCCCTTCTAGGATTCCATACTAAAAACGTTTTTGTGTTTCCTTTAACTTGTGGTCACGATCAGTCTTACATGTACAATGTACCTATTCAGGAGAGAGAACTTAGTGATCTTATTTATGGCATTAATATGTTACAAAAAGCATTCAGATTGAAAGCACTGTTAACAATATGATTATATATTAAGCACATTCCAAACATGTTTATCTTTAAGTATATTTAGGACTGCGTTTTTTCTTATCTAAACACATGCAGCGAGCTACACCCACAGCACCCGAAAGGCCTCAACACGCAGGCATGTTTACAGCAGATTTACTTTGTAATCAGTGTGTTCAATTCAAGTTTTATCTAAAGCCTTCTGTGGCAGTTATTCAGTAGGAAATGACATAATAGGACAATAATGACATTGTGAGGTCTGAAACTAACGCTGTCTTTATGTGAACAATCTCAATCCGTTTGTGTATGCCAATCCAAACGTAGTTTTGTTAGACGTGCATTAATAAGTTGATGAATGACAAAGTAGACAAAAATGATAACAACTTAATATACTGTACTAGAAGCGACGTTCAGGTATAGAACCTTGTACCGTGTCAAACAAGGCTGACCGTGGTACAGGTTGTATGGTAGGTGAAGGAGTGAGTGAGTTTAGTTTTAGGCCGCACTCAGCAATATTCCAGTTATATGGCGGCGGTATGTGAAGGATTAACAGTAACAACAATTAGTAATACAAGAGCGGGGTTTACATGAGTTGGATAACCTGAGACAACAGAAGAAGGGAAACGTCCCTATGTCAGTATTTCTGTAACTTGTGATACATAAAGGTTTTGTCTGCTTTTATCAGATGTATTTTTACAAGGCAGTGAGAGAGTGAGTGAGTGGTTGAGTGAGTGGTTGAGTGAGTGGTTGGGTGAGTGTGTATTTCTGTATAAATCATTATTACCCATTGGTATGGCGCTAGAAATTACAGACACGGGCAAACGATACTAGCTTCACGATATCCACATGAATACCCGATTCCTGTCGCTGAATATCCCTTTCCCTTCTGACTATCCTACCATCTCATGGGCCCCCAAAAAGTTAAAAATGCGTTTTTTTGTACAAAATATATAATACAGAAATAATTTTGCTAAATATATATATATAAAAAACATCCTTTCAGGAGCAAGGAATTCCTTGAAGCTGGAACATATAGGAATGCTAATGGCTCTAAGCAGTTTCAAGTGTTTTTGCCGTATGTATGTAATGACCGACACTTATCACCGGCTCTTGTTGAGTTCAAAGAGATAACTATTATTGTATTTATGTGCAGAGATTTGTTAAAGGCACACAAACAAAATTGTATTGAAATGAATGAACTTCATTCTTGTAAAGACAGTACACCGTACAGTGGGTATTTATGGGTGAGTGGATATGTGCCGTTTAACGTTGTCAGCAATGTTTAAAATCGGAAGCAGAATGTGACGTCATGCGGTACTGCTTGAAGGTGAAAGGTGTCGCCCGGATGTGATCCAGGAAGATGACCTTGTGTACCCTACTGCCGTAAGGTAGAGGCTGTTGCCATGGTATGCTCCAGGAAGATGACCTTATGCTGCTACTGCCGTAAGGTAGAGGCTGTTGCCATGGTATGCTCCAGGAAGATGACCTTATGCTGCTACTGCCGTAAGGTAGAGGCTGTTGTCATGGTATGCTCCAGGAAGATAACCTTGTGCTGCTACTGCCGTAAGGTAGAGGCTGTTGCCATGGTATGCTCCAGGAAGATGACCTTGTGCTGCTACTGCCGTAAGGTAGAGGCTGTTGTCATGGTATGCTCCAGGAAGATGACCTTGTGCTGCTACTGCCGTAAGGTAGAGGCTGTTGTCATGGTATGCTCCAGGAAGATGACCTTGTGCTGCTACTGCCGTAAGGTAGAGGCTGTTGCCATGGTATGCTCCAGGAAGATGACCTTGTGCTGCTACTGCCGTAAGGTAGAGGCTGTTGTCATGGTATGCTCCAGGAAGATGACCTTGTGCTGCTACTGCCGTAAGGTAGAGGCTGTTGTCATGGTATGCTCCAGGAAGATGACCTTGTGCTGCTACTGCCGTAAGGTAGAGGCTGTTGCCATGGTATGCTCCAGGAAGATGACTGGTTTGTGCCGCTACCGCCGTAAGGTAGAGGCTGTTGTCATGGTATGCTCCAGGAGATAACCTTGTGCTACTACTGCCGTAAGGTAGAGGCTGTTGTCATGCGCATGCTCAGGAAGATGACCTTATGCTGCTACTGCCAGGTAGAGGCTGCGTTGGTGCTCCAGGAAGATGACCTTGTGCTGCTACTGCCGTAAGGTAGAGGCTGTTGTCATGGTATGCTCCAGGAAGATGACCTTATGCTGCTACTGCCGTAATAAGGTGCTGCTTGCCGTAAGGTATGAGGCTGTTGTCATGGTATGCTCCAGGAAGATGACCTTGTGCTGCTACTGCCGTAAGGTAGAGGCTGTTGTTGCCATGGTATGCTCCAGGAAGATGACTTATGCTGCTACTGCCGTAAGGTAGTGCATGGTATGCTACCTGCCGTAAGGTAGAGGCTGTTGTCATGGTATGCTCCAGGAAGATGACCTTGTGCTGCTACTGCCGTAAGGTAGAGGCTGTTGTCATGGTATGCTCCAGGAAGATGACGTTGTGCCGCTACTGCCGTAAGGTAGAGGCTGTTGCCATGGTATGCTCCAGGAAGATGACGTTGTGCCTGCTACTGCCGTAAGGTAGAGGCTGTTGTCATGGTATGCTGTTCCAGGAAGATGACGTTGTGCCGCTACTGCCGTAAGGTAGAGGCTGTTGTCATTGTCATGGTATGCTCCAGGAAGATGACGTTGTGCCGCTACTGCCGTAAAGGTAGAGGCTGTTGCCATGGTATGCTCCAGGAAGATGACCTTGTGCCGCTACTGCCGTAATGTAGAAGATGACCTTATGCTGTTGCCCATGGTATGCTCCAGGAAGATGACGTTGTGCCGCTACTGCCGTAAGGTAGAGGCTGTTGTCATGGTATGCTCCAGGAAGATAACCTTGTGCTGCTACTGCCGTAATGTAGAGGCTGTTGCCATGGTATGCTCCAGGAAGATGACCTTGTGCTGCTACTGCCGTAAGGTAGAGGCTGTTGTCATGGTATGCTCCAGGAAGATAACCTTGTGCTGCTACTGCCGTAAGGTAGAGGCTGTTGCCATGTCATGGTATGCTCCAGGAAGATGACCTTGTGCCGCTACTGCCGTAAGGTAGAGGCTGTTGCCATGGTATGCTCCAGGAAGATAACCTTGTGCTGCTACTGCCGTAAGGTAGAGGCTGTTGTCATGGTATGCTCCAGGAAGATGACGTTTGTGCTGCTACTGCCGTAATGTAGAGGCTGTTGTCATGGTATGCTCCAGGAAGATGACCTTGTGCTGCTACTGCCGTAAGGTAGAGGCTGTTGTCATGGTATGCTCCAGGAAGATGACCTTGTGCTGCTACTGCCGTAAGGTAGAGGCTGTTGTCATGGTATGCTCCAGGAAGATGAGCTTGTGCTACTACTGCCGTAAGGTAGAGGCTGTTCTTGTATTGCTGGATCTCTCAGCTGCTTTTGACACTGTTGACCATTCTGTGCTACTCTCTACCCTTGAAAACAGGTTCAGTGTCAAAGATCTTGCATTAAGGTGGTTTGTCTCCTACTTAACAGACCGGAGGCAGGCAGTTGTCATCCAGGGTGAAAGGTCAGAGGCAACGTACTTGAAGTTTGGAGTGCCTCAGGGCTCCGTCCTAGGCCCCCTACTTTTCACATGCTACACATCTTCCCTCGGTGATATTGTAAGGTCCTACAACTTAAGTATGCACCTCTATGCTGATGACACGCAAGTCTACTTATCCTTCAAGCCATCTGACGCATCTTCAACCAAGTTCTCCTTTTCAAGAGTAGAAGAATGTGTTGATTGTATCAAGAGTTGGATGTCATCGAAATATCTTAAATTAAATGATGATAAAACTGAGCTCATTGTGTTCCACCCTCTTCGACTTCAGAAAAAGCTTCTGCTTCCACAGTTTTGCATCGGTGAATCTGCAATAAAAATGCCACATGTTCGCAATCTTGGTGTAATCTTTGACTCTGCCCTCAGCATGGAACCCCATGTTCGCAATGTCTGTCGCCAATGTTATTTCCATCTGCGCAACATTGGTTTGATCCGTCGATACTTGGATGTGAAATCTGCACAAGCTCTAGTTCAAGCATATGTAACATCCCGCTTGGATTATTGTAACTCTTTGCTGTCTGGTGTGCCAAAACAAGTCCTCTGCAGGCTACAGAAGGCACAAAATTCAGCCGCACGATTGATCTGTCAAATTAAAAGGACTGAACACATCTCTCCTGCCCTCAAAATCCTACATTGGCTTCCAATTCGCTTCAGAATCGACTACAAAATCCTGCTCCTTGTTTTCAAGTGTCTAAACGGTCTAGCTCCAAAATACCTCTCGGATCTCCTTACACCATATCACCCAACTAGATCACTCCGCTCAAGGGACCAGTCTCTCCTTGAAATACCACAAACTAGAACTAAGTCATATGGGGACAGGTCTTTCACTAGAGCAGGACCCTTCCTCTGGAACAATTTACCATCCACCCTTCGTTCCGAAACAGAACTGTCAAATTTTAAAAGTGGACTCAAGACGCACCTATTCACCTCTGCACATGGATAAAGTGGACTCAGATAGCGCTTTTGAGCAATTAGATTGATAAAAAGCGCTTTACAAATATTTGTATGTATGTATGTATGTATGTATGGTATGCTCCAGGAAGATGACCTTGTGCCGCCTCTGTCCTAATGCTGATACTATCGTCTTGGTGTGATCCAGGACTATGATGGTTCTGTAGCTTATGCTCTAAGGTAGAAACTGTCGTCACGGTATGCTATAGGAATGTGACATCATGAAGCTACTGTCCTAATGCAGAACTATCGTCTTGGTGTTACCCGGGACTATGATGGTTCTGCAGCTATGCTGTAGGTAGAAACAGTCGTCGTGTTATAAGATCCAGGAAAACTACGTTGTGCCGCTACTGTTAGCTAGACACTGCTTTGATGGTGTGATCCAGGAATAGGATCCAGAAATAGGATGTTATGCAACTACTTCACTGACGTCATGATTGGGACAGGAATAGAACATTAGACCAAGAGCATAAAGGTGGTTTTATACGCGATCCACAAAACACATATATGACGTAATACAGACGTGGACCTGTTGCGATGGTGTGAACGAGAAATATGGCATTACAGGGGTTTATGAGAGAACACTCGAGTTTGTTGGTATATTCGATCCTCAAAGGATGGATATGCCGTCTCCATCCTTTCTCGCACACCCGGCTGTCCCTTTCTCTGCACTCCTCCCTCGTAACATATAGTGAAGTGTGTCAATATTTTAATGGTAGTTTGTTAAACAACTTTTTAATTTTAGGACATAAATTCTGCAAACAAATCACAGAGTTGGTCTGATATTTTGATTATGATCAGCGTTTCATTGACTATTATATGTTTATTAGTTTTTTAGTTAGATTGCAATTCATCGGTCCGCTTTTGAGCCAAACGCACTATATAAAAATATAACTGTAATGGTATGTACCAGGTATGATATGCCGTTATCAGTCCAATGTTCGTCACACCTGTTCGTCACACCTAGTCCATCGTCTATCTTACATCCGGATCCATCAAGCTAGCGAAACTATTACAGCGAGCGACAGGTTACACCAGAAGCATCGAGGAGACATAGGTATAGAACGGTGGTAGACACTATCCTCAGCTGTTGAGTGGGTGGCCGAGAGTGATCACTGTAGGGCAAGTAAGACGTGGAGTGGGGATACACAGTATTACACCCCCGTGACTGCTACTTTTGCACCTGTATCACCCACGCACGCTGAATCATGCTATATCTGATTTATATCACACGTCATCCCTACACTTCATTCTTAAACTTAAAGGACATATATATTTAACGCCTTGCTGAAAGGGCCTGTCAGATGCATGTTTATAGAACGACATCTGTAATTTTTGTTTATTACGTTTGCGATAACCTTTCATATTGACTTCCCGTGGTATTAATCATGTCTCGAGCACCAGTAGTGACAGACCTGCAGATATGACACGATTCCTTGTTGTACATAAATAACACACTGTAGGTGTGTATGCAGGTAGTGAGGTGCCGAGGGTAAATTATTCATTAGATAGATGGACAGGTACAGGTAAACAGAAGGGAGACAGTTGATTGATAGGTGAGTATGTACATTAAAGTGGCGATATAGGTTTGTAGGTAAGTAGGTAATAATTTGGAAATTCAGGATCAGGTGGCAAGGGTATGTGGGAACCAAGGATGGATAGTTTGCTAAGTGAAATTGTACAAACAACCAGCAGGGTTGGTAGGTAGGTAGGTAGGTTGGTAGGTAGGTAGGTAGGTAGGTTGGTAGGTAGGTAGGTAGGTAGGTGGTGGGCAGGTAGGTGGGGAGGTGCAGGTGTAGGCAGGGTTGGCTGGCAGGCAGATGCAGGTGCAGGTAGGCAGGTGTGTAGGTGTAGGTAGGTAGGTAGGTTGGTAGGTAGGTAGGTAGGTAGGTAGGTAGGTAGGTAGGTGGGTAGGTAGGTAGGTGTAGGCAGGGTTGGTAGGTAGGTAGGTTGGTAGGTAGGTGTAGGTAGGTAGGTGGGTTGGTGTAGGTAGGTAGGTAGGTAGGTTGGTAGGTTGGTAGGTTGGTTGGTAGGTAAGTAGGTTCAGGACTAACAAGTATGTACGATTTACAATTGTGAACAGATAACTATTTCAGTTGTGGATTTCTGCCATTTCATAAATTGCTGCATCAATTCTTGTACTTCGGCGCAGGTGACGAAAATATTTTCTAACTTTATATGTAGAACGTTCATGGACGTTGATCACATCTGCCTGTTATGTGTCGCAATTTGTCGCCAGAGTGCATTAGCTTGCATTAAAATTGTCCCTCTCTGTCCTTAACTGTTGCGTCAGGATTTAATTCAAAGAACCTAAATATGAAGTTCATATTTTACCTCGTATCCCATTTACAACCTTAGTATTTAGATTCGAACTGTTTCAGATTCTTTTTCTGGATCAGTATATTTGCAAATTCACAGTCATCTGAAGTTAGGTGAGTGAGTGAGTTTAGTTTTACGCCGCTTTTAGCAATATTCAAGCAATATCACGGCAGGGACACCAGAAATGGGCTTCACACATTGTGCCCATGTGGGGAATCGAACCCAGGTCTTCCGTGTGACGAGCGAACGCTTAACCACTAGGTTACCTCAGAGCCCCTTCTGAAGTTGGGCTGATGTACAAGTGTAAAAGGCAGATGAAGTTTGACTTCCATCCAGGCCAGGGAAAAGGCAGATGGAGATAGACAGGTAGACAGACACATGATGATAGGCAGGTATAGCAAACATAATAACACCTCTGTCGTCTTCTGCTACAGTGACCGAAACCCACATCAGCCTGCTGCACAAGACCAGGACATCACGCCCCGGACCTGGTCTCACTGTAGACCTCTGTTCGAGTCACTTGTGCGAGGACAGAACCAAGACGGCGCACGGGACGTTGGCGTCAGAATGGCGCTTGGGTGGGTGAGCGAGTGAGGAAACATGGCTGTCATGGGGAGTCGTAAGAAGAGCACAGTAGTGCCGCCTTGTGAGTAGCTGCTCGGGTAGTGAGTGAGTGAGTGAGAGTAAGTGTCATTTCTAATTTATCCCTTGAATGTGGATACCACCTACAGGGGTGGAAATAACCCATTGCCCGACTTCCCAGTCCAGTGGGGTTTTTTCTGTCGGGCAAGCAAATTTGTATATCACGCTGTACCAGTGTCCAGTTGACTTCCCCATGTTAATTGTGTTGTTTATTTAAAAACTCAACAAGAAAATTGGCCGGTACAGTGGAAAAATTATCAGGGCAAGTGATTTTACATGTGCCACTGTAACGGAGTACACTAGCAATTTTAAAGTTATTTTCACCCCTGACCTATCACCGTATGTTGCCACATGTAAATGGACCAATATTTTAAATAATTTAAGAAACCATGCACATTGTAACAAAAAAAGTACATTTTGTAATGGCTGCCATTATGATTTGTTTATCAGGTTACAGTCAGCTGGGCGTTATCGCTGAGGACCCAGATGACGTCACACTGAGACGGAAGCACTTCCGATATGACGTCATCCCGGAAACCCACGAACCCTCGGATCTGGTTCAGGTGGTTGAGACTGCCAACAGACTAAACCTGAGGACGCAGCGGGCGAGTATCACTGCCTGGAAGGCTCAGTACGGTGGCCCACCCAGGCTTCCGGAATTACACGAAGAGGCAGATGGCGGAGAAGATGCGAAGTTGACCACAGAGAGGAAGAGGAAGATCAACCAGGCGCTGGACTGGATCCGAACGGAACTGGTACAAACGCCATATTACTAATTGTTGAAATTCTTAGTGATGAAAGGTTTCCGAGGTACGGGGCACCAGTTATTGCATCGGTGCTTTACGAAGGCGTTTAAACCTTTCTTGAATCAGTTGATAATAGTATTGAACGATACAGACAGTTCCCATTTCATCTGCGATGCCGTTTGTTTTTTCCTAATGATTTTCTAGGTTAAATGTGACGTCAGAAACATATGTATATCTATCAGAGAATGGTTGAGAGGCAACTAACGGGATCGCATGGAAATCCTAAAAGGGGCACTGTCGCATGGAAATCCTGAAAGGGGCATTGTTGCGTTGTTGCGCATTTAAAGGTATTTTTTACCCATCTTACATGAGGCGACAATGCGACATATTTTGTCCTTGAAAATTGTCACTATGTCGCATTGTCGACCTTTGGAGGAATAAAAAAAAATATTATTCAAAGCGCGCGAATGCGGCATTGAGACAAATGGCCAAAATGTCGCATTGTCGCACTTTGGTTAATTTGGCCAGTGTTTACATGTTTTTGTAAGGGCGACAACGCCATAATGCGACAACGCGACAATGTCCCTTCTAGGATTCCATAGGATCGTGTGGTCTGGTCTATACTGCCTGGTCTGTGCACATGTTTATGCACATTCCCTCTCAGCTATAAACATAATTCAGGGGAAATGCGGCGTGGAGGAGGGGGTGGGGGAGGGGGCAGCTCCACTTAACGACGTGGAAGGAGCTTGACATTCCAAGCGTGTATTGCTGAAGTAAACCGACACAGATTATGAGTCTGCAAGGTAGATATGTAACGGAGGTTATCTTGTATCATCCCTTTCCATTTTGACGCGCCAGTGACGGCACTGATGCGCAGGTGGCATGATGGGGAAGGATCCCCTCACGCTTCTGACAGCGCCTGATATCACCACTGTTTGTTGGAATCGTACAATCGACTCTGAGTGTCGGAAAGATTTCTAATGGTGCAACTGAGATATCAACTTTTGTGAGCTACCTATTTTGATGACTTGATAATATCAAACAAGGGAAGAAATACGTTTTTGGTTTCTTGGTGAAATTTTTATTTTCTGATTTCTCTTGTATCTGAACATACACAACGAGTTCTTTTATAATGAAGGGGAACAGAAATGGACCTAAATACCTTCAATACAGGTACCGATGTCACAGGAACATATTTTCTAAACTATAAACTGGATAAATACTACTTTAATTATTTCTCCAGTCTTGATACGCTGGTTATGTAATTTAAGTAATGAGCACGATTTAGTTCTGTAAATAGGGCAATGAAGCTTGAATACGCATACATTAATTTTTCCAATCTTTTTCATGTACCAAACTATCTCTGACTATTAACGTATTATGCTTACATACACACCTTATGTTTGATATACCAGGTGAATAGTTTTCCAAAGATGGATGAAAGCGTTTTAACACGATAATAACTTTTTGGATAATATTTACTGGCAGTCTGTAGTCTTTGTAAAATTAGAGTTTCAGCCAGTTTCTGGTTTGCACATACTTTCGACAACCATGGAACATGTTTTGCCCACAAGGCAACACGCCAATAAGCATATTTTACAAAAGTACATAATGTATGATGTCATAGGAACAATTTGCCACGTGGTACTACGTTGACTTCCTCTTAACGATAGTCCGGACTGACAGTCTATATACACAGTTTGAGCAACATAAGACTTCATATTGCATGGATTTCTCAAAGGCCCAAGACTCCACACAGTTGTGTCGCTTGGTTGAAAACCCAGATTGGCTCCGATTATAAACCTTGAACAGTCCCAATCATACTTGTCGTTTTGGTTTTTCATCTTTAGTAAGCCGACACGCCGTCAAATATTGAACTACGTCAGTAATATCATTCAAAGCGGCAGGTGACACTAACTCAATCACAGTGTCCTTAGTATACAATGCAATATTTGTTTCTGTTTAGCTGGAACTGAGACGCCAGGACCAGTCCCTCGCCAGACAGCTGCTAGGAATCCGTCGCGACATATCCCACCTGCGTTTGTCCAGAAGCTGTGAGGAGCACGAAGACATGTTAGAAGATGCACAGATTGGTATGGAGGAGTTTCACGAACTGTCGCGAGTTTTAGACATACCGTATGAGGGACCCACGTCCCCAGGTCCACTGAAACAGTTGGGCGTGACCAAAATGAACATAAGCATCCGTCGTTTCTCCACCTGCTGATGAGGCAAGACTGTGGAAAAAATTGTAAGGTTGTTTTTAAGGCTCAATTTGAACCTCATGGGTTCCTAGTGTTGGTGTCTTGTTCAGATGCACTCCTCAACACCGCCATGTTGGTGAATCCGTGTATACAGACATTGGCAAGGTATTGGCCAATGTGTTGTCAGATGGCTGTGATAATCTACTTACATTACCGTGGTCGCACGATGATTTGGGGATATATGTAAACACGATCGTATCTGAGTTGGTGTCTTGACTTACACAAGAGGATATGGTCATCGATGGTATGTCTTGCAGACAGAAGTGCCCGTTTAACGTTATATACTTGTTCAATCGACCTTGTGATCATCAATTCTGGCAGTGTTGACCGAGAGCAAGCGACCGAATGCAATGGATTGTGTTCATTTGGTGCAAGCGATCGACTGCAATGAATTGTGTTCATTTAGTGCAAGTGACCCACTGCAAGCGGTTGTGTGCATTTCGTGCAAGTGTAACACTGTGATAGGCTATGTTCACTAAGAGCACTTGACGAACACTCGTATAGATTCAGGACGACTCTGTGACTAATGGATGGTGTTCAACATGCAATCATCAGTTGTTTTAGCTGTTTGTGTAAAACAAATAGGGTCATGTGACTCCCAGTAATACGTTTGCCTTTGACAAGGGCAATAGGCCAACTGAGAAAATATTCCATTCACAAAAGGGAAAATAGTAGTGGTGTGACGATTCATCGATACATCGATCCATGGGCCACCGATACAGTGAATCGATACAAACTTTTACATTTTCGTATATCCCGATACGATACTTTAAATGGGCCTACGATACATCGATGTTTAACTTTGGATATTGCCGAATCGCAATATCTGTCAAGAAAAAAAACTTACTTTTGTTTAAAGATTGAAATATATGCTTACTTATTTTCCCTTCATAAGTAAACGTTTTCTCGGAAATTCTTGAGTCAAGAACTGTGACAGACATAGCGCTCGCATGTTATTAACATTCACAATGTCCGTGTATAAACTTAACTTTGACGAAATACTTTAAAATGGTTTTGTTTTGATATTAAGGTGTTTTATAGTTGGTGTTGGAATTAATGATTTTAGTATCGTGATACGTATCGTTTTGCGACCCTTATATCGGTATTCGTATCGTATCGCAGCTTCACCACACAATACGTTGGCAATATATCGTCGTGACGAACATTTTAGTATCGTGATGTATCGTATCGCAGGTTATATGCCAATACCAGCACTAGAAATAGTCATTGTCGCCAAGTTTCAGACAAAGTGGATGGTAATCTGCTATGTATAACCTATTGAAACGAATGAATGGATATCCAGCATATATTTATTTTTCTTTCTGTCTCATGTATTTTAGTGGCAGGTAAATTATTCTATTTTGGTACATACAGTTAAATGCATCACATACAATACAAGTACCACATATGCGTTTCACCTGTAAACCTCCGGTAAGTGACTACTGTGCTATCGTCTGTTGGCTCACCTGAAAGCTTTATATTCTGGAGGAAAACGTCTTCTGGTGGTCAGACCACCACCATGTGTTGTAAAGGTATTAATAGTTATAGCCATTTTGCAAATGAATGACATACTGTGGAAATGTAGTAGATTGACAACTATGATAATTCCTCACTGGCTTCAACTATCGTTGTCATGAAGGTTTGGACAAGCTGTGCCGTAAGTGACGCAACCATGAACAATTAAAAAATATACTTTTTGTATATACGTTCTAGACGTACTTTCCCTGCGGAACACAACCATGAACAAAATATACATGTACTTTCCGTAAGGTACACGGGCATGGACAGGGTGGAGTTACACTTTCTGTGAGAGACAACAATATGTCGATACACTTCACTGTGAGGGAGACTAACATGATCAAGCCGTAGATACACTTTGCCATAAAGGACGCACCAATGAACAAGCTGTAGATATATGAAGGGAGATATTCTTTATCGAAATGTACACCAGCATGAACTACTGTAGGTACACTTTACTATAGGGAAACAACCATGGACAACCAGTTTGACGTAGTGAACCCTAGTATGTCCTGGGTGACGATACACTATGCAGTCAGGGACACTAGCGTCACAAAGATGAAGAGACGCTCTACACTAAAGTTCACTAGCGTCACAAAGATGAAGAGACGCTCTACACTAAAGTTCACTAGCGTCACAAAGATGAAGAGACGCTAGCGTCACAAAGATGAAGAGACACTCTACACTAAAGTTCACTAGCGTCACAAAGATGAAGAGACGCTCTACACTAAAGTTCACTAGCGTCACAAAGATGAAGAGACACTCTACACTAAAGTTCACTAGCGTCACAAAAGATGAAGAGACGCTAAAGATGAAGAGACACTCTACACTAAAGTTCACTAGCGTCACAAAGATGAAGAGACGCTCTACACTAAAGTTCACTAGCGTCACAAAGATGAAGAGACGCTCTACACTAAAGTTCACTAGCGTCACAAAGATGAAGAGACGCTCTACACTAAAGTTCACTAGCGTCACAAAGATGAAGAGACGCTCTACACTAAAGTTCACTAGCGTCACAAAGATGAAGAGACGCACTACACTACAAAAGTTCACTAGCGTCACAAAGATGAAGAGAGACGCTCTACACTAAAGTTCACTAGCGTCAATGAAAAGATGAAGAGACGCTCTACACTAAAGTTCACACTAGCGTCACAAGATGAAGAGACGCTCTACACTCTGCAAAAGTTCACTAGCGTCACAAAGATGAAGAGACGCTCTACACTAAAGTTCACTAGCGTCACAAAGATGAAGAGACGCACTACACTAAAGTTCACTAGCGTCACAAAGATGAAGAGACACTCTACACTAAAGTTCACTAGCGTCACAAAGATGAAGAGACACTCTACACTAAAGTTCACTAGCGTCACAAAGATGAAGAGACGCTCTACACTAAAGTTCACTAGCGTCACAAAGATGAAGAGACGCTCTACACTAAAGTTCACTAGCGTCACAAAGATGAAGAGACACTCTACACTAAAAGTTCACTAGCGTCACAAAGATGAAGAGACACTCTACAGTCTAAGCGTCCAAAAGTTCACTAGCGTCACAAAGATGAAGAGACGCTCTACACTAAAGTTCACTAGCGTCACAAAGATGAAGAGACGCTCTACACTAAAGTTCACTAGCGTCACAAAGATGAAGAGACACTCTACACTAAAGTTCACTAGCGTCACAAAGATGAAGAGACGCACTACACTAAAGTTCACTAGCGTCACAAAGATGAAGAGACGCACTACACTAAAGTTCACAAGCGTCACAAAGATGAAGAGACGCTCTACACTAAAGTTCACTAGCGTCACAAAGATGAAGAGACGCTCTACACTAAAGTTCACTAGCGTCACAAAGATGAAGAGACGCTAGCGTCACAAAGATGAAGAGACACTCTACACTAAAGTTCACTAGCGTCACAAAGATGAAGAGACGCTCTACACTAAAGTTCACTAGCGTCACAAAGATGAAGAGACACTCTACACTAAAGTTCACTAGCGTCACAAAGATGAAGAGACGCTAGTGTCACAAAGATGAAGAGACACTCTACACTAAAGTTCACTAGCGTCACAAAGATGAAGAGACGCTCTACACTAAAGTTCACTAGCGTCACAAAGATGAAGAGACGCTCTACACTAAAGTTCACTAGCGTCACAAAGATGAAGAGACGCTCTACACTAAAGTTCACTAGCGTCACAAAGATGAAGAGACGCTCTACACTAAAGTTCACTAGCGTCACTACAAAGAGATGAAGAGACGCACTACACTAAAGTTCACTAGCGTCACAAAAAGATGAAGAGACGCTCTACACTAAAGTTCACTAGCGTCACAAAGATGAAGAGACGCTCTACACTAAAGTTCACTAGCGTCACAAAGATGAAGAGACGCTCTACACTAAAGTTCACTAGCGTCACAAAGATGAAGAGACGCTCTACACTAAAGTTCACTAGCGTCACAAAGATGAAGAGACGCACTACACTAAAGTTCACTAGCGTCACAAAGATGAAGAGACACTCTACACTAAAGTTCACTAGCGTCACAAAGATGAAGAGACACTTTACACTAAAGTTCACTAGCGTCACAAAGATGAAGAGACGCTCTACACTAAAGTTCACTAGCGTCACAAAGATGAAGAGACGCTCTACACTAAAGTTCACTAGCGTCACAAAGATGAAGAGACACTCTACACTAAAGTTCACTAGCGTCACAAAGATGAAGAGACGCACTACACTAAAGTTCACTAGCGTCACAAAGATGAAGAGACGCACTACACTAAAGTTCACAAGCGTCACAAAGATGAAGAGACGCTCTACACTAAAGTTCACTAGCGTCACAAAGATGAAGAGACGCTCTACACTAAAGTTCACTAGCGTCACAAAGATGAAGAGACGCTCTACACTAAAGTTCACTAGTGTCACCTAGCTGGAGATACACTTTACAGCAAGGAACACTATCGAAATGTACATTGGTTCAGATTGACTAGCATGATCGACCAAGCTGAAGACACTATTTACAGAAGTGAGTGAGTTGAGTTTTACGCCGCTCTTCGCAATATTCCAGCAATATCACGGCGGGGGACACCAGAAATGGGCTTCACACAATGCACCTATGTTGGAAATGGAACCCGAGTCTTCAGCGTGACGAGCGAACGCTTAAACCACTAGGCTACCCCATTGCCACTCACTTTACAGTAAGGGACACTAGCGTCACGTAGAGGAAGATACACTTTACAGTAAGGGACACTAGCGTCACGTAGAGGAAGATACACTTTACAGTAAGGGACACTAGCGTCACGTAGAGGAAGATACACTTTACAGTAAGGGACACTAGCGTCACGTAGAGGAAGATACACTTTACAGTAAGGGACACTAGCGTCACGTAGAGGAAGATACACTTTACAGTAAGGGACACTAGCGTCACGTAGAGGAAGATACACTTTACAGTAAGGGACACTAGCGTCACGTAGAGCAAGATACACTTTACAGTAGGGGACGCTAGCGTCACGTAGATGAAGATACACTTTACAGTAAGGGACACTAGCGTCACGTAGATGAAGATGCACTTTACAGTAAGGGACACTAGCGTCACGTAGATGAAGATACACTTTAAGGGACACTACCTTGAACATGGTTCAGATCTAGTATACCGTAACAGGCACGACCATAGACAAGCGTCCGGATGAACTCCATTTCTAAGGGCACCATCATTATTGGCACCAAATGCACTCCCCCACTTTCTAATCTGTTTCTTTATGCATTCTTCATTGCTGCTCGGATTGGAAAAAATAAAAGGAAATTTATTCAATAAGTTTAACGGCACCTTTAGGTGCATATCGATGCCAATAGTCAGATATGCAATGCCCTTCCACTGAGCTGCTAGAAAAAGACACCTTAATATTGCCTCATCTGTTTCATATCCAAATAATTTCTGAGTGACAATTGCAAAGAACTATCTACAAGGTGGTATGACAAGATGGCTGACTTCAAGTTACCAACAGTTTCTTTCTACGGATAAAAACTAAATCAGGGTGCATTTATGCAATAGTGGTATGAGCAACATCCAGGATCTGTTTAAGACGACACGCAGTCAGTCACGTCACTGAGTCAAAACACACAGTGTACGTCACGTGGCCTAAACAGAGAATTTCATTAAGATATAATAGATTTGAGGTCAGTTCGATGATCATTTAACCTCGAATGATCAAATATAGATAATAAATTATCATAGTTAGACCTTGAATTGTCATAGTAAGATTATGAATACGAAAGCAGAATGATGCCGAAACACGTTATATGTTATCATCAGTAACCAACTGTATTACACGTGTGATGCAGACTACGGTATTGAGGAACGGAGTGAGATTTCTCAAGTATGTAAGGTGTAACGTGGTGAAATGTGAGCGAAGCAGCAGTAAAATATCGGTTCTAAGCAGTGCCTTGCAAAGTAACAGTAACTCACAGTGACTTTCTTCACCGCAATAAATGAATTTGGAAGTGAACACAATAAGAAAGGTATGATACTTTGAAGTTCTTGAAAGACATTTAGAAGTTTGGTCTAGTTTTCATTTCTGAGGTGGTTGTCAATTTTGTAGTCGTGAAACATTAGTAATAGGTTTTTAACATCCTATGGCGATGTATATGCTAAAAGATTGTGGTTTTACGCTTATACTTTACACATACAAGGATAAACCCAGAGAACATCACTGAAATCGTTCCCGTTATTTGTGCAATGTAATTTCCTTTGGCTTGGGCACATTTTATTCACCAATGATTAACGTTCAAGCTTTATTGTGCCTGTCTTA